TGCCGGGGAGGCAAGCTGGCAGCGCTTTTTCAGCAAGCTAATGACGCGTGTTGTTTTCAGTCTCTTAAGTGTGCTCGTTTGTGTGTACGTGTGTGTTTTTGTGATCTTTGTGATAACAGAGGGAGAGTACTACATGCAGGCATCCAAATGAAGGGGGCGGGTGGGGGTTAGGCGCTGAGGGAGGAGGGGAAATTGAAAAATGTGGAGGAAAAACAAAACACGAAGACAGATGTGGAGGAAGTAGAGGATGCAGAGAACCAATGAGTGCAGAGTGAAGACGTCGCCAAGTGATGGAGACTGCAGGAGATGTGAGCTCAGAGGGTGGTGGACTGTGGGGGGGGGGAGCGGGTGGAATGGGGCTTCTTTACTTCTCGTCCGTCATCAGAGATCTCTGCAATGTGCCTCAGGAGGTGCTCAGGCACGGGCCACTTACAGACTGACAGGCCTCCTGCCTGGATACTTTATCATCCAGACCAGACAGGACCAGGGCGGGGGGGCTGGGTGGGGGGATCTCTTTTGTTCTTCTAAAGAATAAACAATGACTCACTCAGTTTGATTCTGAATCTTATATATTCATTTTATTACATTACATTACATGCCATTTAGCTGACACGTTTATCCTTAGCGACTTACAATAAGTGCATTTTAACCATAAGGATACAAAAGAACTTGAAACACAAGAAAGTGCAATTTCATCAAATAATCCAATCTACAACTGGTGTTTGGGCGCAATAAATACAAATTTAAGTGCTACAAATGGTTTAATGTGTTTAGTCAAGGTAGAGTCTGAAGAGGTGTGTCTTTAGTTTGCGGCGGGAGATGTAAAGAGTCTCTGCGGTTCTGGTGTCTTCAGAGAGCTTGTTTCATCATTTTGAAGCCAGGAAAGAGTCGTGATCTTGTTGAGTGTTTTGCTCTCAGTGAGGGAGGAAAAAGCAGTTTGGCAGATGCAGAGCGGAGTGTGCGGGTCAGGATGTAGGGTTTGACCATGTCCTGGATGTAGACGTTCCATAAAGTAGTATTTTCACTGGTGCTCTCTGTCTGCTGCGAGCACAACGTATATATACGTGTGTGTCGGGGCGGAATTGCCGTGTGCAAAAAAGAATCCAAAATTTCGGGGGGTAAACTGATGTAATGGGTGGGGAAACACTGAGTGTGGTCAGTTCACTGTCACAGATAGCAAGCTAAGGGCTAAAACAGCTAGCACCATGTCACAGATTAGGTCTCTACGCTCACATACAAATAGAAAATGAAGTAATTTTGGGTGTTATTGATACGTGATGACACTGATTCATGTTCAGTGATTCCTTTGCTCCAACAAAAAAACCCACCTTGACTACTTCACTGTGTGAGGCCCAATCACCAATCATTGACTCACAGAGTTTTAGTTCAGATCTTTCCTGATGCCATACCAACCACTGTTTGAGGGCTCTTTACTAGGAACATTTTTAGCACCTTTAGATCAATCCTGTGGGAGCTACCCACATTTTATAGCAATGTGACATTCAACGCTGGGTTGCCGATGGAAGGTAAAGGTGAACATGAGGACTGCACATGAGTATGCAGTTAGGATCATTATATTTACTGGGAAAAATGAAGGATTAATGATGGAAGATCAAAACACATGATTTATTGTGATTAATTTATTGTCATCAAAGCTGTGTTGACATCAATGCTAATCTGAGAAATAACTTTTGTTTTTTGAGGAGAGAGCCTGGACGGCGTTCAAATTTTGCAGTCAAAAATAGATAATAATTGTACATAACATGATATGACATCGTCATGGTAACACAATATGTCGCAGCAGGGTGCATTTGTATTTCAGGCCCATAGCTCTTCTCCTCAACAATCGACCAGGGGACTGACTGGGGGTCCAGGGTCTATGGCAGGGGTCACCAAAATGTTTTCTCCGGGCGCCACATTATCGTTCCTGACTGTGATGGGGGGCCGGGTCAGCTATATAACATAGAATTGTATGACCCAGATCAAAATGACCACCAGCAGGCCTCATGGTGCAGTAGAGATTACTGGCATGGCACAGCCATCCCCACTACTATATCAACACTTGATTCCTGGCACATATTTTTTTATCTTTACTAGTGGTTTGCAAAAGTGGTAATCGAGTCTTCACACTTTGTTTTAATTTGAAATATCACAGATATTCCATTTATTTATTTTCAAATAAAAATAACATCAAAGCTGTCAAGGTAAGAAACATCTGCCTAGTTGAGGTGATTGACAGAGGCAAAGGTGAGTGAAAAATTATAAATTATAGCTAGGCCTGTTGATATTAATACAAGTATTAATAATAATTGTGTGCAGCACTTAATAAAGGTCAAATAAATAGGCCTATAAAATAAATTAATTAATTAAAAAAACATTGAAATTATAATAACGTGAATAATAGAACAACTAGCCAGCTCTTATGCCCAGGTGAGCATGTTCAGTAAACATTTTTTAGGTCAAGGTGAAAATGAAATAAGAAGTAGGTTCAAAACTAAAGCACAACCATAATACAGAATAATGGGAATCAAAATCAGTAGTATATGTAGGTGAGCTGGATTTGCACTTGTTGATGTATCTCCTCTTCTCACTTCCGGGTGCCTTCTGGAGCCCTGGCATGGAGGGATGACAGATTGAACACAAGAAGCACCGTATTCAGGGTTCATACACATTTTAACCAATACTTTTCCATGACTCTTTGGCACATTGCCATGCCTATTTTGATAAATATGTGCGAAGGAAAGAGAGCAAGACAGCGCTTAGACGGTGAAGTCTTGTTTACACTTTCGCCTGGAGAGAGAGAGAGAGTGCGCGCACGCGACCGTCTCTCTCTCTTTCTGCTCGTTCGACAGTACCATCACATTTTGGAAGTAACTTGCCAACACTGTCAGCACCGACTTCGCCTCAGGCAACATCGCAACAAGCGAGTGTATCGGAAGTGAACTGAACGTTATGCCATGATGACTTTTGGGGATTGCCTCATTGGGCCGGTTCAAGTAGGGGGGGCAGAGGGGCTGGGGGGCCAGTCAAAGGGGGGTGGCGGGCCTGAGTCGGCCCGCGGGCCGTAGTTTGGTGACCAATGGTCTATGGCCTCGAGGAGATGTTGGGATCTGGCCTGGTCTATTCTGCCTCACGCTTATTGCTCATATCAAGGATGAACATGATTATTGCAGGCTTCCATCGTTGTCTGTGCAAAATGAAATGTTCCAGATGCACAGGAACAATCGAAGGAAACTGTTGTTGTATCAATCGGTAAGCTGAGCTCCAGATAAGGAGGATACGTTTTCCAGGCCCTACGTTTAGGAGGCTGGGGTTTGCTTCTTGGCTTCAAAAAACAAGAGCAGACAATTGCAGGTCCTCACAGAGAAAAGCCGAACGAGATGTGCTGTGTTTGTTGCCCTGTGCTGACAGTGGCGGGGGGAAGTCAGACAATACGAAGCTGTTTTTAGCTACTAAAATGACTTCACTCCCAGGGCCACTGATCTGCGCAAACACCCAGCTCCAGGACCCCAAATCAGCTCGTACAGATGGATCATTTTTCTTTTTCTTGGCAAACAAAGAGGGAATAATTGCACTTTGCAGAGAAATAAATGTAATCGTCAACATTAAACCGCTAGCACAGAACCCAAAAAACTTTTCCAATTAAATATTCATTAACTTGTTGGCGTTTACAGACGCAGGGACATTGGGACCATCATGTTGAGAGAAAGGGAGGAATACTTAGGAGGACTTCTGTTTCCAGACATTTACATAAATGTGTTTTTGAAATATGTTGCTGCTGCTGTGACTGTGGCCTTCATCCACCTTACGGGAATGAGGTGAGGAGGCAGAATGCTGTTCTCCTTCTTCCCAGGAATGAGCTTGAAGGTGTCTATAAAATGTCAACGTCAGACTGACAGCTGGTTCTCAGACATTTTACTGAAACCCTGAATGTTAACCTCGTGATAGTGCTCCATCAGACTGATAGATAGATGGATTTTACTGTCCCGAAGAAAATTTGTATTGATGTACAGTGTCAGCTGTTTACGAAATACAGACAATAACATCCACGGACTGTCGCCAGCCAGTAGATACCAGGGTCAAGGGTCTATGGCCTTAGGCCCACTCACTGTTCCGTAGAGGGGGGACTGATGTGAAAGAAGTTAGGCAGGCACTGTCTCAATTATTTTCCAGATGTTCTCCGTTTTGCTGCAAACTGGTGAGAAATATAATCATACTGTTGATTTTGATGTGGAAAATAAAGTGCAGATACAGAGAGCTGGTCCTTTCTTTTTAAATGTCCTGAATTTAAAAGATATCATCTACTGGTCTTCATCATTTTGTACAGTCTCACTCTGTCTCTCTCACTCTCTCTCTGAGAGTGACTGGCAGGTGGTGAGCTGAGAGGGGATGCGGTGGTTTATGTCCATATTTCTTAGTGGAAGTAGCATGCTGAATGCCGCCATGGATTCCAGCAGGCTGACGTGGAAACGGGGCGAGAGAATCGGTCTGAGTTCCTCATCCTCGGTGGAGGACAGCAGTGTCACGGTGTGGTTCGCTTCCTGTCTTATTTTGTAGTTTTCTGGCACTCGTGTCCCCGGGTAACTTCCTGCCTTGTCATGTCACCCCCTGTGATCGTCTAATAGTTTCCACCTGTGTCCAATCACCTGCACCTCCCTTGTGTATTTAAGCCGTGTGTCACTTGTCGCGTCATTGTCTTTTGCCACGCATGTCCCTGTCTATCGTCCTGGATGTGCGTTCCTGCCTGCCTTTTTCCCCCCTGGCTCCTGTGTGTTTTTGCCTGTTGGCCTTTTGCTTTTGCCCGTTTTTGACTATTAAAGTCCTTTTGTTTTTGAACTCTGCGTTTGAGTCCTGCCTCCCACGCACACTCCCTGACAAGCAGCCTGGCTGTGGGAGAGTTGGCGGGTCACCACAGCGTGAGGTCCGCAGCACGTATGAACAACGCGGTGGTCATCTTCCTCCTTCCTTGAACTGCACGATCGTGCCCGTTCTGGCTCTCATCACCGGCGGTGAGAGTCATCCTTTTCCAACGTCCCTCCGTTCATCGGGGACGAGGCTCTGGTTAGAGAACTGTCAAAGTACAGGATGGTGGTGTCTCCCGTAAGGAACGTCTCTTTGGGGTGCAAGTCCCCGCTACAGACACACGTGGTGTCACACAAAAGACAACATCTCATGGTCCTCAACAATAGGACCCAGGAGCTTAACCTGGTGTTTGGGCAGATTAGGTAGGGCAGATGTGGGATGAAGGAACAAGTGAAGTCCGGCGGATGAGTGGTGTGTGAGAGGGCGGAAGCTGGGGGGGGGTGATGGAGTCCAGCTGGTCGGGCAGGGGAGTGACAGAGTGACTGAGGGGACGATTGAGGCCCAGGTCGAGTGTGGGGGTGAATGAAGAAGCAGGTGGGGTCAGACAGGTATGTCAAGAGAGTAGAAGGTGAATGGGGTCCAGCATGTGGTTCAGGGGGATGGAGGGCTGGAGGAGCTGGGTATAAGTCAAGAGAGACACGCTAGTGAAATGCTGTTTGAAAACAGCAATGAGGGCATGGTGGGGGAGGAGATGGGGCGTAAAGCCCCCCCGAAGTCAAGGAAGACGAGGAGCAGCAGGAGCCTCTCGAGCCAAGAAGGGGTCAAAGAAGGGAAGGAGAACCAGAGGGGAAGCTCGGTCCTTTGCTGATTGGGACTCCACCGACAGCACCTCTTCTATTGGCACAGTCACCAGTAGGTACGGGGTGGGGAGAGTGAAGCTCTTCTTGAAGAACAAAGGGGGTGGACTTGGAGGAATACTTCTCTGACTTAGAGAAGTTCTCTTGCACAAAAAGGGTAGTGGGAGATACACCCAGCAGCAAGTCTTCCGGATGAGTGAGATCATACTCAAGCTAAATACAGGAAGCGAAGGTGCTTCTGGACAGAGAGCAGCGTCCATTCGGCACAGGAGGAGAATCCTGTCCACCTGAAGAAGATACTGGTGGAGAACGAATGAGGAGTGTAGCCAGAGTCCAGATCAACGAATAGTTTATCATTTAGACTTCACCTTGTTTTTAAAGAAAATAAAGACTTTTGAAACTCAAAATCAAATCTCTCGCTCATTCTCTATCTCCACCACTTACACTCTTACTATCTCACTCACTTGTTCAATCACAACATAAGTCTCCTCACTCTCTCTCTCACGCACTTACAAAGTCACTCAGTCATCCACAAGCTCACTCCCTCACTCCTCTCACTCTTTCTCACTGAGTCACTCACTCACACACTCAGTGTTTCTCTCTTCCTCACTCACTCACTTATTTCACTCTATTTCATGAACTCAAAGCGAGGACATAACATCAAGGGGGTCTCAGCAGAGCAGCGTCAGCCTTGAGGTTGAATTAATGATCAGCACAATTAATCTTTCATAAGGTGTAATAGTCGGCCTTGCTGGGGTATTTGCAACTGCATGGAGGAAGATGTCTTAGGACCTTAGCAGCAGTATTTTCATAGACATACCAACACAAATAGATTTTCCATGGAAAGCGCTGAAAAGATAAGAGATGAATTTTGTATCTCAGAAACGATGCCATATTTACCAGGTGAACATATGCAGGCCAGTGGATAATTTCCCTTCTTCCTATTGATCACCAATGTGGTCCAAAGGAAGCCAGGGTTAAACAGAGAAGACATCCTATCCTTCGACTCCTGTTTCCTCACCTGCCATTACAGTAAGTAGAGCCGAGGCAGCGCGTGCTCCCTGAGGTCTGAGAGCCAGATGCCAAAGTAGGGGGGCCTTCTGCCTCAGACGCTCTCTCTCTCTCAGTCGTGACTGGTAAGTCTGGTAAGAGCATGGCGTTATGAGACGTACAATTACTGAGGCTGCTAAAGGGCATATGGGATATTATGTATAATAAACTATTACAGAGTATTTATGGTTGTTGAAGGTGAAGTGCTATTTACATTGCTCTTTTAGATGTATAATCTGCTGTGCATCAGATGGTTGAAATGAAACAACAAATGGAAGGGCCTCTAGGATGAAAAAAGAGGAGTTTCATTTACATGAAAATGTCAGATCGTTTGGATTATATTATATATATTATATTGGATTATAGCTATATATAAGTTTACGCTTTCATCCAAAGAGACTTACAATAAGTGCATTCAACCACAGGGTACAAACCCAGAACAATGAGAACCAAGAAAGCCAAACTCCAAAGTGCTATAAGTAAGTGCTACAAAGTGCTACCTAGTTCAGCTATAGTCAGTGTGTATATTAGCAGTATGTTGGTTTTGCAGTTTGTACAAAAATAGAAATGAAAAAATAGTGAAAGTAACAAAAACATCATAAATAGTAGTTTAAAAGGGACATATTATGAAAATTCCACTTTCTTGGTGCTTCTACACATTAATTTGGGTTTTTTGAGACTTGTCTGACGTGAGTAGATCCACAAATGCGTCTTTTTTCAACATGGACCTGTCTGTAGCCAATTAGATGTCGCCCTCATTTTCATTCATTCATTTTTTCACATTAGCGCAGTTCCCCCGTCCCCTCCCCATGAGCCGGCCAGCGTTACAGCAACGCGACTTGTGATGCAACGGGTCCGAAGTCAGCAAACTATGGCGCCTGGTAGTGAGAGGGGGGGATCTGGCTCATTAGCATTTTAAGGGAATTGGCACTCAAAACAGGTCACTCTGTGGAGGGCTGTTTTGGACAGGGAAAAAGGGGGCTGTTTTAAATCCTTGTCGTATTTTGACCAAAGTATGTTGGAGCATATGGGAACCATATCAACTTGTGGTGAAATGGGCATAGGATGGATCCTTTGGGTTCAATCATTCCATTGTCAGCTTGATTTTTTGAGCTAATGTAACTATAAATGATAGGAGATTTAAATATATACAGATTGTTGGACAAACTAGGTCTGTTCACCGGGCAGCGAGTCCCAATGGGTTATGTAAGGTACATTTAGACACAACCTGCTTTCCTGTACCATTTCATTTTTATTGCCAGTGTGTACCATTTGCCAGCATCTATCAGCAATGTTTCAATTGACAATCAACTGAAACCTCCCTTTTCGCCGCAGAAGTACGACAATGGCCGATGTGGAGACATGAAAGTCTCCCTCCAGATGATATGATGGGCTCATGCTCAGCTAACGAAAATGTCAGGGGTGCGTGGGGGAGGCAGGACTCAAACGCAGACTTCTCCGGAAACAAAAGACTTTAATTGTCAAAAAGGGAAAGACAAAGGGCCAAGGGGCAAAAACATACAGGAACCAGGGGGGACCACAGCAGGCAAGAAACTAAACACATCCACGACAAGAGACAATGACGCAACCAGTGACACAAGAGACACACGGCTTAAATACACAAGGGAGGTGCAGGTGATTGGACACAGGTGGAAACTATTAGACGATCACAGGGGATGACGGGACAAGGCAGGAAGTGAAGTTACCCGGGGACACGAGTGGCAGAAAACTACAAAATACAACAGGAAGTGAACCACACCGTGACAGAAAAGACAATTGTTTTTCTCTTCATGGGATTAGACACCAATAAAAAGTTAAGTTTTAGTCAGTTCTGCCAATGCCCTTAAATGTTCTAAATGTTACTAGTTGTTCGTTTAAAGTTATTGAATCATAAATGTGATAATAATAATAATAATACAAAAATGATGTTCCAATTTTGACGTGTTGGCCCACCGTCCTTGGAGGTTTTAACTTTGGCCCAGCGCCCGTGTTCTCAGTGTACGGTGTGCCACAAGGTGGGCGGAGACTGGGCCTGTGGAGGCGGAGCTTTGTTGGTAGCAGTTTGCCGCTGTGAGCCTACCTAACAGGAACAGGTTCTTGGCTGCCTTTTATTTAGAAAGGGACTGAGCCGTCAAAGCCATCCATCAGCCCCTCTGCCTTTGTATGACGGATCAAGAGATGGCAGACCGTGTGTGTATGTGTGTGGGTGTGTGTGTGTGTGTGTGGGTGTGTGTCTACCTCAATGAGGAGGCTGCTTCTAAACTCAGGTGTTGAGCGTTTGTTTCCGCTCCATAATGAAGAAGTAATGAGCAGTCAGACAAGCTGTTGATTAGCTTTTTTCCACCAGTTTGCACAGTGCTTGCAGATGGCTTGTTGTCTCCACTCAGGTGTGTGTGTGTGTGTGTGGGACCATTTCCAGTGTTTGTGTCTTCTTCGGGTGTGCGAGTGAACGAGGAAAGTATTGACAGGAGTTTCCATATGAAACAAAACAGTTAGAAGCTGCCTCTTTACCCCGGGCTGTATCAGGTTTTTCTTTACGGTGGAGTACTAATAAGGCCATTGGACAGTGATGGATGAAGCATTTCCTGGGATTGACACGTCAATTGTTCTTTCCATAATAGTTTCCTATGAATGAATCACTCTACGTTGGGGGAGAAGCCCTGAGTGTGAGGGCGTGCACACATAACGTCTATGTACGGAGAAGCAGTGGTCCGATATCAGGCGGCTACGACACTAATGTGCGATAAAGATAGCAGGTGTCATCTGTTTCTGTCAGTCGCACAGCCCCGGACGTTTCCAGACCATTACACGTTGGTAAATTGTTTTTACTGAGTTATACGTGGACATCACAATCTTCGGCAATTGGTTTCATCAAAATTGGGAAGTTAAAAGAAGCAGAACAGCAATTTAGATTTTTTGCACTCACATGAAATTGGAAGACTCACATGAGACATATTTGATACAAAAGGACGACCAGAACCCTGAGCGGCAGAGCAGCCTGGTCTATGCTGCGTTTCCACTCCGATGCGATGCTCGCTCTTATTGCTTCGATTGGCCCGTCACCTTTTTAATCCTATTTCTTTTTGTGATTTACAATTCAGAGCTCGTTAGCTGGCTCCATAGCCCACCTCACCCCACCTCTCTATGCAGTGAATTACAATACATTGTACGTTCCCCATTGAAGGAAGCTGGCTAGATTGGTGCTATAGTGTTGTATGAGAAATACTGTAATGAGAAATGTACAATAAAATATGGTAACCAAACAAAGTTTCTTTGTTAAAACGAACACGTAATTAAGTGCCACGTGTATATCCTGTGGCGGGGTGGAAGGAACAGACTACACAACAGTTTCAAGTGAAGTCCCCGGAGGGCAAGGTTTATTTACAACCGTTTAATTAGGAGAGGTCCAGCTTGCGAGGTTCTGCGGACCCTGGTGCTCGTGGTGAATCCGCTCGTGGGGGAGTCGGTGCAGTGCTCCAGGGGTTCTGCCGGGTCACTCGCTGCTTCCTAGAGAGACAAGCGCACACAAGAGGGTTTAGCCTTACGTCTTCTCCAGGGGGCCTCCTTGTTCCTTCTGAACCTGCAGCTTAAATGCAGCGGAGCTGACGAGCTGCAGGTGTGGCCACTCAGCTCGTGATGAGTGGTGAGCAGGTGTTTCTTGTAGGTTCCAGGGCAACGCTGATGTGGGCTTGGGACGCTCATCACACTCCCCCCCCCTAAGCGTTGTCCTGGCCTGGTGGAATAATAGGATGTTAGTAGGGGTGATGTACGGGGTTGGTGGGGAGTGACCCCTGACAGACCCACAAAAGCCGACCAGATCCGAGAAAGGCCGTCCGCATTAGAGTTTGCTGCTCCGGCACGGTGCCGGACTTCAAAGTGGAAGTCCTGGAGTGCCAGGAACCACCGTGTCACCCTGGCGTTCGTGTCCTTGGCGCGGGCCATCCACTGGAGGGGCGCATGGTCTGTAAAGAGAGTGAATCGCCTGCCTAGGAGGTAATACCGTAATTCCAGAACTGCCCACTTGATGGCCAGAGCTTCCTTCTCCACCGCGGCGTAGTTTTTTTCGGCCGGGGTCAGCTTCCGGCTGAGGTACAAGACAGGATGCTCCTCATCTTCCTGAATCTGGGACAGGACGGCTCCCAGTCCTGTATCGGACGCATCTGTTTGCAGCAGGAAAGGACAGCCAAAATCTGGCGCTCTTAGGACCGGCTCTGCCGTCAATGCCATCTTTATTTTTCTCAATGCCTCCTCAGCTTCGGGCGTCCAGTTGATTTTCTCTGGCTGACCCTTCCTGGTTAGGTCTGTCAGAGGGGAGGCTAAAGAGGAGAAGTTAGGTATAAAACATCGATAATAACCCGCCAACCCCAAGAAGGCTCGTACCTGGGACTTTGTACTGGGTCTTGGGGCGGCGCGGACTGCCTCAACCTTCTTTTCCTGGGGTCTGATGACTCCTCTTCCCACCTGGAAACCCAGATAGTTCGCCTCAGACAGGCCCAGATGGCATTTTCGGGGGTTGGCGGTGAGTCCAGCCCTGCGCAGCTCCAGTAGCACCCTCCGCAACCGATTTAGGTGGTCTTCCCAAGTCTCGGAGTGGATAACTACATCATCCAGGTACGCTGCGGCATAGGACCGGTGAGGCCTCAACAAGATGTCCATCATCCGTTGGAAGGTGGCCGGAGCTCCGTGTAGGCCAAAGGGAAGGGTCCGGTATTGCCAGTGTCCACTGGGGGTAGTGAAAGCCGTCTTGGGTTTGGCTGTTTCGGAAAGGGGCACCTGCCAATACCCTTTGGTCAGATCTAGGGTGGAGATATACCGGGCCCTTCCCAGACGTTCAAGGAGCTCATCCACTCGAGGCATGGGGTATCCGTCAAACTCAGACACTTCATTTAGGCGCCGGAAGTCGTTACAGAAGCGGAGGGTGCCATCCGGTTTTGGTACCATGACAACCGGGCTGGACCAAGGGCTTTTGGATGGTTCAATCACCTCCAACTTCAGCATGTGTTGGACTTCCTCCTCAATAGCCTTCCGACGAGCCTCTGGGATTCGGTAGGGCCGTTGCCTGACGACCACTCCGGGTGGTGTGTGGATCTCATGTTGGAGGATCTGGGTCCGCCCGGGGTTGGAGGAGAACACATGCGAGAACTGAGAGACCAGGTGCTGCAGCTCTGACTTCTGGGCTGCCGACAGCTGGGCGTCCATGTCCACTACCGGCGAGTCGATGGTGGCGAGGGCAGCGAGCTGGTCCCTTGTCCCCACCCATTTCTTCAACAAATTAATGTGGTAGAGCTGCTCTGTTCTTCGCCGGCCTGGCTGTCGGACACGATACGTGACCGGCCCAACCTTCTCGATGACGGTGTACGGGCCCTGCCAACTGGCCAGGAACTTACAGGCGGAGTTGGGGACAAGAACCATGACCCGGTCTCCTGGCTGAAACTCTCGTGGCTGGGCGGCTCGATTGTAATACCGTTGCTGCGCCTGTTGGGCCTTGACGAGATGTTCCCGGACTAGCGGCATGACCCGGTCGATCTTTTCCCTCATCTCCTTCACATGCTCTACCACCGAGCGATGGGGGGCCGGCTGATGTTCCCACGCCTCTTTGGCCACGTCCAGGAGGCCTCTGGGCTGGCGTCCGAATAAGAGCTCGAACGGGGTGAAGCCTGTCGACGCCTGAGGCACCTCCCGTATTCCGAAGAGCACGTAGGGGAGCATGAGGTCCCAGTCCCGCTTGTCTTCATCTGCGACCCGCCGTAACATCAGCTTCAGGGTCTGGTTGAAGCGTTCCACGAGACCGTCTGTCTGGGGGTGGTAGACAGAGGTCCTCAGTTGTTTCACTTTAAGGAGGGCGCACAGGTCAGCCATTAGCCGGGACATGAAAGGGCTTCCCTGGTCTGTCAGGATTTCGGCGGGGATGCCCACCCGGCTATAGAGAAGGAAGAGCTCCTTGGCGATGGCCTTGGCCGTGGCTTTCCTAAGAGGCACTGCTTCAGGATACCGGGTGGCGTAATCCACAATGACGAGGATGTGTTCATGCCCCCGGGCCGACTTAGGCAATGGCCCTACGAGATCCATTCCAATGCGCTCAAAGGGTACCTCAATGACCGGCAGTGGAATCAGTGGGCTGGGGGGAGGGGTCCGTGGAGATGTTCTCTGACAAGTGGGGCAGGCCTGGCAGAATCGTTTCACCTCGGCGTCCAATCCTGGCCAGTGGAATCGGTCACGGACCCGCTGAATGGTGTTGTTGGCTCCAAGGTGGCCCGCCAAGGGATGGGAGTGTGCCAGCTCTAAGACCGTCTCTGTCTTTGTTCGGGGTACCACCAACAACTTCTTCTCTTCCCCCCTTCGCTGTGCAACACAATAGAGCCGGCCGTTTTGGACGACAAAATGCGGGAGAGGATGGGGCCCCGGTTGAGTTTCTTTTCCCTCAACCATGCGCACCTGAGCCCAGCAGTGCTTTAGGCGGTCGTCTTCCCGTTGTTCCCTGGCAAACGACCCGCCTCCTGTCACCTGTTGGAAAAGGTCATGGTAAAGGTTAGAATGAGGGGGTGGGGACTCACCATCTCTCCCGCTGTCGGAGGCCAGCAAGACGGGACGATGACGGGTTCTTTTTCCTGGCCGCCTTTGGAGGTGGGCCCGTCGAGGACTGGCAAATGGCACGTTCGCGGCCAGCAGGCGATCCAAGCCCGGCCAGTCTCTACCGATAAGGACTGGTACCGGCAGATCCTTCACTAGGCCCACGTCCATCGGCCATGAGTCAGGGCCAGCGGAGATGGTCACTCTCCTGGTTGGAACATGTCGCGTGTCTCCATGCACGCAGGTGACCGGGATGGTAGCCTTGGTTAGTCTGCGGGGCGAGAGGATATGAGACTGGATCAAACTGACCGCGCTGCCGGTATCCAGAAGAGCTGCGAACGGGCGGCCATCGACTTCTACGTCCACCCTCGGCGCCCCTTTTGGCAAATCCTGATGTAGGATACAGCCCGCTAGCCAGGTTCTTGGAGCCGGTGTGGGGTCTGCGGTGGGCATTGATTCGTCTCTTTGAGAAGGAGGCCCCGGCCTGCCTTCAGACCGCGGGTTGCCCTCTGGCCTGCGTCGCTCCTGGATCACCCTCCGGGGAAACGGCGGAGCTCGTTCTCCAGCACCCTGGTGTTGGACAGCCTCCGCCAGTTCCACAGCTTCGACAAGCTCAGTAATCGTGCTAGGGTTCCGCATACCGACGGCTTGACGAGGGGATCTCGGGAGGGCACGGAGGAACCGATCGACGACAACACGCTCTGTCACAAGGGCGGCTGTGGGATCTCCTTCCAGCAGCCAATGCTGCGCGAGACGCGATAATTCTGCGGCCTGGGCCCGGGCAGGGAGGCGGGGCCTATACTCCCAGTCATGGAAATACTGTGCAGCGCAGACTGGTGAGAGGCCCAGCCGAGCCAGGATTTCCCTTTTTAGCTCCTTGTAGTCGTCTACCCGTTCAGTTGGCAGCATGAAGTATGCCCGCTGGGCTTCCCCCGTGAGGAGGGGTGCGACCAAGCGTGCCCAGTCACCAGGGTCCCAGCCCTCCTGGGTTGCGGTATTCTCGAACATTTGGAGAAAGGATTCCACATAGTCATCAGCTGTCAACTTCGGCAACAGCTGGGTCACCTTCATTCTGGGATCAGGTAGTGGGACATGTCGTGCAGCAGCCGTGCGCAGTTCATTTAACTCTTGTTCAGTTTGCCCTTGTCGCGTCGCCAGATGTTCAGTTATCTGTTGCTGGCGCATGCTGATCTCCGTTAGGCGTGCAATGACTTCATCCATGTCGCCGGGAAAGGAGTGGCTGCCTAGGGGGCTGAGCGAAAAAACGAAAGATTTAGTTTTGTAAAAAAAAAAAAAAAAAGGTTTTCATCCGGATGTTCCTCCCACTCAGTATGCCTGCATCCTCCACCAGTGTGGCGGGGTGGAAGGAACAGACTACACAACAGTTTCAAGTGAAGTCCCCGGAGGGCAAGGTTTATTTACAACCGTTTAATTAGGAGAGGTCCAGCTTGCGAGGTTCTGCGGACCCTGGTGCTCGTGGTAAATCCGCTCGTGGGGGAGTCGGTGCAGTGCTCCAGGGGTTCTGCCGGGTCACTCGCTGCTTCCTAGAGAGACAAGCGCACACAAGAGGGTTTAGCCTTACATCTTCTCCAGGGGGCCTCCTTGTTCCTTCTGAACCTGCAGCTTAAATGCAGCGGAGCTGACGAGCTGCAGGTGTGGCCACTCAGCTCGTGATGAGTGGTGAGCAGGTGTTTCTTGTAGGTTCCAGGGCAACGCTGATGTGGGCTTGGGACGCTCATCACAATCCATATAGAAATGTTGTGCAAAGGTGTTTAATTGAAAGGTCCTACCTTTCCAAGTCAACAGTATATTTCCACTCCCGGGAAATCAGACTAAAAGCAACCGAAGGCAACCGGTTGTTTAATTCACGGCTTTGAAGGCTTATCAGATTTTCAACACCACAAAACATGTTTCACTCAGACACGACTTTGTGACTACTATTTCATCTTTGAACGTAACTCCTGCTTGGTGGAAAGCAGGAGTGCAGTGTTTACCATGTGTTTACGGTAATGTGGTCGTGGACCAGGGCACAGAGCAGAAGTTGAGCTTGGACCAGCAGCTGGACCTCACGTGAGGAAGTAGATCATTCGCTGTGGTCTGTTCCCTGAGAACGCATTAGCTCTGTTTGCAGCCAAACAGTGAGACCAAAATCAAATTAAGCAAAAGACAGAAGACCCACAGAAAAAGGTTGAAATGAGACAAAACGTAACGAAATGCCAGAATGATGAAAGACATTAACCGAATAAAGCAATATAGTTATTTTACATAACAGGCAAGTTTGTCATAACTGTTTTTAAGAAGAGATATTTAAAGAGCTGAGAGATTTTGGAAGGCTTCTTCCCCCTCAAGTCAACCATTCAAAATCTTTATTTTAGTGAACAATTTTTGTGGAACTAGATTTCAAGTTAATAAAGCTACTTTACATAACAACATTGGGTTAATGAGAAACAGTTGAGTGGTATCGTTTTGTGTTTAAAGAAGATACCTTTCCACAACCATTGCACTGTGAACCATCCAATGGACTCACACACCATGAACACTGCTGTTGACTGGATTGTTTTATTGGTGCAGGCTTGCGTATGTATTTCAATCTGCAGATCATTTGCGTATCAACGTCCTGACTTTGTCTTGTATCATTCCCACGCACACTTACTGTATGAGTTTTACAGTGCAACAAAACAGGGCTTCAATCTATAAATGCACCAATCAAGCCCAGCAATGAAAGAATTTCAACGGATTTGCAATTATTCTGCCCTTTTTAAGTCAGACACAACCCAGTTATGAAGTATATCGGGTTGCCAGAATGTTAATGAAAGAGAAGGTTTTCTAACATTTAGACACGCTTTCATGACAACAGGAAAAGGGCAAAGGGTAGCTCTGCCGTAGGCTTGTGGAGCAGCCTCCCCCCCACACACACACACGCACTAACTCCCCTGTTACGGCGCATTCTCATTACTATTGCACCGGTTTCACCTTTGTTATACTCCCTGTTTATGACGGGCTGTGTGCTCTAATGAGGCTTAAGGACCCTGAATGTGAGTAGTGATAAGATAATGATCAGTAATAAAGATTAGGGCTTTGATTTGTGCAAGTGAGAGGGGTTCAGAACCCATCAGGGAAATTAACACGAGAGCTGTCCTCAGCTACTCCTCCACACATTTACGACCAGTACCTTTGTTCTTTACGTGTGTGTGCCAGTGATTGTGTTTGCGTCTCCGTCTCAAGTGGTGTTAGTGCATGCTCAAGTAAAGTACAATTAATGCACACTCAACATTTACCTGCTCGCTCTGAGGTCCTTCAGGCCGGCTCCTCTCATTTTGTGATCTCATTTTTATTTTCATTTTGAGGATGGTGCAAGTTCCATGTGATCAACATTAACATTTTTGCTAACCAGCCACTGTGCCTAGTGATTTTCCAAAGTTGGAAACTAGCCACTCAGCAATTTCATTAACCATCATTTTTGTTGTTTGTTGCATATAACTGGTGAAAGGGTAAAGCTGATTTCATGACGACTGTGTTGCGTTCATCCCTTAAGTCGCAATGCTTTTGACATGGCCAACAATATTGCATGGTCCTTTATTGTTTCTACTGTGAAATTGCTTGTCCCAGCTACAAAAGAAACCCCCTTAACCTATTCACTGACCTACAATCAGTGCAATACATTTTTTGGGCTGGATCATAAACCAGCCATTCTCGACTGGACCTCCACTTTCTGTGGTATTTTTCTCTTTTGTTTCTCCCCTCCAGGTTTTCGTACATCCTTTCCTTGCACTGAGCAGGTCTCCTCAAGTTGTATCAAAAGCCTCCACCTGTCACACGTGTTCGCTGGTCTATGTTGCTTAGTAACAAACGTACGGTGGACGAGAGTAGAAAACAATACGTGCACAATACAACGTTAGCAGGACATTTTGGTTGGCATTGCCTCCTCAAGGTGTAGCGTGTGAACTGGTTGAAATGTGTGTGTCAGTGTCAATGTGTGAGGCTTAAGAACCCTGCAATGAGTTTATTATTTTAGAAACGGAGCAGGCGGGTCCACATGGATATCTCTGCTGGTTGACCGTCTGGCTAACAGCCCTGAGCTGTTAAACGGACACACACACCTACACAGGCACACACACTGCAGCTTAACTATATTTCATCTGCATCTGGCTGTCAGCCCTGAGAAATGACTGTATATGTGAACATGCGTGTGTTTGTTTGTGCCGCCCCAGTGACGTACCCACTAGATTAATGAGCGCTATTCTACTGCAGAATGTGCCTCCATGCACGTCTGCATGTGTGTTTACCAGGTCTGCCAAGGGTCTGGGAAGCTGGTGCATTCCATAAGTAGTTATTCAATAGCTTTACTCACCGCTGGGGGTCAGGGTTATCAGTCCTCTATCCTAATACCTAATAGGTATTTTAAAAAGTGAACATGCCAAATTTGCAATTTGAATAGACCTAATCCATCTATACATATGAGGAGCCAGTTAACCAGTTTGATTTGGGCAAAGCAGAAGAGCATGAAAACTGCCTAAAAATGATTATGTTAAAGGCTTTAATAGAAAACACTTCAAAGCTTTAAGGTTTTATAATGAAGGTTTTCAACTCTATATTTTATTTGTCCTGCTATGGTCAGAGATGGAAATGATGGGAGACCAGCAGGACAGCACATCCTGAGTAGTGATAGTGTGATAGTGTCTCTTGTGTCCAGGGACATCGCCTCCGGTGTCCAGGGACAGTGCCTCCTATGTCCAGGGACGTCACCTCCTGATTCCAGGAACATCGCCTCCGATGTACAGGGCCATCACCTCAGAGAAAAAACTCTCCTGAATCCAGGGACACCTGCTGAGTCAGGTCCGCAAAAAATGTGCTGGCTATGTATGGTCATGTAAAGCAGAGAAAAAGTCATACAAAATACCACATGGGTGATGTTGCGAATTAGTGACGGTGACAGTTCTGAGAAACATCATCTCAGTTTCTGCATTGATTTACATTCACATGCACAATCGGTAGGTCTTCCATTATTCATCAATCAAGTCCAATAACGGTAGAATGCAGGTAACCAGTCTGTGTAGAGAATCATCGAGGCTCAACACATTAAGGCTGAAATGCAATCTTGGAACACATCATTTCTCATTTGACAATGATTTAAATTTGTATTGGTTAAAAATTAGACTGTCAATTGACTACTTCTGAAACGTCATTTTTTAACGTCAAGTAGACCCCGTGACTACAATGGGATACGGACGCACGGGGGAGACGGAGCAAAGTTGGGGATGTCGTTGTTTTACTCATGTCCTCATTGAGGTTGAGGTTTAATATTTTCACTTTGAATAATTACATTACAGGTCATTTAGCTGATGCTTTTATCCAAAGCAACTTACATGACATTACTTTTTTTTTTTTTTAACCCATGGCTTTTTAAAACATTTTCCCCAGGGAGCATTTAAGGGTTAGGTGTCTTGCTCAGGGACACTAACAAACATTGATCTAAATCATTGTCTACTGACAGCAATACGTTATTAAACATTTATTAAATATGTACTTGGGTTTCATATATAAGTTACCAATGTGATGTAACAATGTAACTAAAATAAATAAACGTACATGACACAAACATTAATGTGGTATAAGACTGACCTCATAAACCCCAAAAGTACATTTATTGGCAGCAATTGTTAAACCATTAAAAGACAAAGAAAAACATCAAGCTGATCAGAGTAAATGTATTATATCCAACATACAATTTCATCATTTCAGAGAGATGTCATTAAAATTGTCCCTTTGAAGCTGACCGTCATGAATCCCCCATGGATTATCTCAAAAATGCATTCCAGGTCCTCCTTATCAGTGGTGTGTGTGAGCAGAGACATTAAGCAGCCTCCCTGCCGAGTGTCTCTGCTCCCCACACCCATCGCCCCCCCTCGCTCTCACCCTGAGGGCTTTTTGGCTGGAGCCAGTGCAGCATGTCGGGGCAGCAGGGAACACTCGGGGTCAGCGGAGAGTGCATGTGTGTGTGTGTGTGTGTGTGTATGCTTTTTTTCTAATTTGAGGAGTGGGGAGGAGGTATGGGAATGATCCACAGACATTATCACTACCGGGGGCTACGACTGCTGTGGTCATCTGTTACTGATTGCTGTGTGTTTGCGTGGCTGCGTGTGTGCGCGTGTTTGTGAGCTCCATTCTCTATGGAAGCTTTAGAGACCCCTTTAGAGAGTTGATGTGTGTGTATATATATATATATTATATATTATTATATAGTATATAAATGGATTCATATTATATACTACATATATATACATATATATATATATATATATATATATATATATATATATATATATATATATATAGTATATAATATAAATCCATTTTTAAATCCAAAACCAGCCTGGGAGAGAACTGAAAAAGTCTCTTTTCTCCCTCCATCCTGACACCTCCCCCCTTTCTCTCTCTGCATTACCAGGTGAACAATGTCCTTTTATTTAAATATGCGGTCAGGTTTGAATGGAACCAAATAGAATATTAGCGTGAAGGACACCTACTGTATGTGTGACAGAACACTAATGATGATGGGACTTAATGGGAAATAATACCAGCAGCACATGTTTTTCATTACGATGACATGACTGTGAATAAATCATTACCAACCTGATATCAATTGAAGCAGATCATAAAGAAAGAGGATAGAGTTAGAAGATGTTTTTCCCTGTGGCTCCACCATGTTACTTGTCCGTTAACATTCTGCTTTCATTTTAGGCTCACCGGTTTATCAATTCCACCCGCTCTCTATCACAAACACACACAAACACACACAAACCACGCACACACACTGAGTAAACCCAGACCCAGGTGATAGGAGCCCATGAGACAGCAGCAGGACAAGAAGAGGGGGTGGGGAGCAGCTTGTGAGGAAAATTCTGACTTATCTCAGACTGATATCAGAATTCTTTTTCGATATTTGAATCATTTATAAGCCACATACAGCTGAAAAGGACATATAAACTTCACTCAAAAAAAAGAAAAGGGTTGTTGTTCAAATGAAGAAGCAGCGACTTACGGAAGCCCCCAGAGGCAAGTGAAGGAATATTCATTTCCGAGGATTTTTCTGACAGGGGGAAAGGTTTGGATGGGACACTCTTTCTAATCTCCTTTAGTTTTTTCATCGGTGGGATTTTGAAGACATTTGCTTCAGGGTCACAAGGTCATCCCAAAAAACAAAATGCTTACAGGAGGATTGCACAATTTAGATCAGAACATTGATCACCACAATCAATTATCTTCCTTTCCTCCCATTGCGTCTGTCAGAGAAGGCTTAGGGCTACAGGGATCTTTTTGAAATGAAAAACAACCCCCTTTTTTCAAACTGAGCCCAACGCACCGGTTCAGAGAGCCGACTCCCACCCAATCACAGAAACAAGCCGCGTAGTGAGCCGAGTGGTCCCGACCGCCACGTCGCTTAGAGTGAGAAGGTAATTTAGGGGACTTAAAGAGGCCCTGGGAGCTATGCTGTCTTTCTTCTGCGTTCGGTCTGCATCCCATCCCTGTGCGCCTAAGAGAACGTCAACAACCTCCAGGCAAAGAGTCATGTGACTCTCAATGTGTGTATGTCTGGCGGCATCTGCAAAAAGAGGAGAACTCTTGACATGAAGGAGAGCAGCCTCCTATAATCCGCTTTTCCTTTGTGAAGTGAGTGACTTTGAAAGTCACTTTGACGGTCACCCCCTTGCCCCGGCTCGCCGCCATCAGAACAAAAGACGCTCCCCGTCTCCGTGTCTGTCTCTCCTCAAATCCGCCTCTCCTCAAATCCACCGTTTGTTTGGGGAATTGGGAAGTTTCCCTTTTTGCTCTAAAATGATCTTTTATTCTACTGTGTCATTTGGAGCCGTGGAAACTTTGCGTATGTGTGTGAGATTGTGGAGGTCAAATGTAATAGCTTCCATTTAAAAGAAAACTAGATAGGATTATTCTGCACTTCGCTCTCCGCTCCACTTTTTGTCCTCAATCTGAGCGCCGCCGCTCCGATAGGTCTGCTCTCATTACGCAGCGACAAAGGGCCCCCGGGTGTTTGTCACCCTATAACTGACGGCGGAACGGCGTTCTGAAGAGACGGAGAAGACTGAGACGTGTTGGACGCTGTTTGCAGTTGTGCTTTTGTTCATCAGGTGAACAAATCAGCAAATAACCAGCGTGTACTGTGGGATTATGCAGGACTACAGAGGATTTAGCATGTGTATGTGATTATTGGTTCATCACCATGTGTAAATGCTATAATCTACCTCGGATTACATGCGCAACATGGACTTCAAATGGGTAAAAAGCACAAAACAAGCGCTTCTAAACCCACATGGCTGTTGTAAGAAGGAGTGAGCGGCTTACAGAATGAATGTGTGTCGGCCTGCTGGAGGACGGTGAAGAATGATCAAGATTTGTTTTTTTCTTATTGTTAGTTCAACCTGCTGAACATATTGAGGTCAAGTTTGCCGTCATCACATGTTTTCAGGGGACAGTAATCACAAGTGTTCATTTCATATCCAGATTAGCACGACGGGAGATTTTAATCACTCAGCTCAATCAATGCGCTCTAGTGGCACTGATGGAGAGAATCAAGCGTTTCATTAGCCGTTGTGCACAGGGAGCCGAAAGGCTCCTGACCCGATGACAGCAAGGATCCAAATAAAATCTCAATTAAAAAGGTTTACAACGTTCGACAAGGGTGTTGGCCTGTAATAAGAGTCTGCCATATGTTGCGTCTGTGGTGTGGTGCTGCAGCACAATAGCATCCGCCGAGACTCCTCCGTCACCAAAGTGGATTAGGGGCAGGCATAAGGAAAACATGAAAGGGGGAAAAATATAATATAAAAACGTTTTCAAAATGTAGAATAAAATCAAAAGAATCTTCTGCCACGTGTTTACCTTTGATGCCCGGTGCAAACACGCGAGCGTAGTCATGCACATGAACAGACTCCTATGCACACGTCTGTGAGCGGATCCCTCCGGTACCGGGACCCCACCAGAGGGACTGTGAGCACCAGCTGTGTCACTTGCATTGTCGGGTCGTCTCACAGAGGCTGTTGTATGCTGCACAGACCAGGAGAAGCCCCCACGCATGTGTTCATCGTGATATCGGACCGTAGCAATCTGATTGAACTGGAACATTTTTGGGGTTAAAGTCAAGCCATTTGAAAAAAAAAAATAATGATTACCACACTGAGAAACTGAACTTTAAAAACAGAACAATCCATTTCAAGGTCATATAGGCTTATATAACAAGGATGGACAGTAGAGTAATAGTGGCGAGGTGGAACCTTATCTGTGTGGAGCTAATCCAACAAATTAAAATATGTTCATCACATTAATGAAAAAAACCTTGCAGCTGTAAATGTGCTGCCCTTGTATTGAAATGGTGCTTACGTGTTAATGCATCACTTTTTTAAAATACCGAATCACAACTTCTACTAGAACAAGACATGTCATATGCCAACATACATTTTTCACAACTGCTTGTTATTATTAATTCTTGATGTTTTATGGGCTTCAAGCAGATGTAAAAGAGGATGAAATGAAAATACAAATGTTCATCCTCACAAGGGAGTCTGCCAATTAGAGTCGACATTCCAAAAAGCATAGAAGCCCATAAACAGTATGCATCAACGGATACCAGTAGAGATACAAATGCATGCAGACATATACAAGTGAAGGTTATGAGTCATTTTTAAAAGGAAAAGATGTAAAGAAGAAATCACGAGGACGAGTGCAGGAAGCCGACTGCGCTGACTCCGTGCTAAGGTGGACCTTATTAAAGACACTTTATTCATAACACTTAGAAAAAGACAAACTTGCTCCTGACTAGGCCCCCCCTCCCCTTCCCGCCGCCTCATCAGCAGTGTGCAAAGAAACCGGCACATCATCGGAAGTCAACATGATCTCCTGTCCTTTCATGAAGAGTAGTTCGGTGTCTCCGATGAAGGAGGAGGAGAGAAGCTGGAGGCTCGATTCCTTCTCATTCAGAGGAATTCAGCAGCTCTTACAACGTCACATTCTTCTGGGTCATTTCAGTTCGGAAACGTCATCAGCAGAAATAACACTTAATAAAAGGACATCAGACCTCAACCTCTTTTACCACTTTTTTTCAGTTTATTGTTGGTATATTGGTGTGTTTGTGTTCTTAATGTGTGAGAAAGACATGTGTGCATCCTCCATTCCACTCCACTGTGTACAACACTGTTTGCATTGAGCCATGTTCACTTCTGTTTCTTATAAATGGACCTTTAAAGTTGGTTACAATGACACAGAGTTACCATGGATTTCAATCTAAATTATTACTTCCGTTTTATATTGATAGACATGGTCTTCATCAATATCCAAAAGTGAAAAAAAAGAATCATGAAATAATGTCTAACAATGAGAACTTGAGTTTAACATCTGCTAAGGCGGTTCTGTCTCTCTTTGTGTCTCTCGCTTGGAAACAAACAAAAAGCCTCCTTCAGTCCTCTGAATCACAATGTGGAGCCCGTCAAACAGAAAGCACGCCTTCAGAACAAGTAGATATAGATAGATTTATATATAGAGAGTTTTATATTCAGCTTGAAACTTTAAAAGAGTACAGTAAACACTTCTCACACATGATAGAAAACTACTGGACGTCTCAGAATCAGAAAGGTGCCGGAACAGAACACGGTCCGAGCCCACGGTGTGATCACAAAGCAGAAGGAACCCAAACGTGAAAAGAATTCATCAGACAACACCTGTCCCGCCCACAATTCTTCTTACAAACTTCAAATTGAACCAAAATAGAGACACCTGACTGCACAAACAGAATAGAAAAATCTAAAACAGTGGTATTGCATTTTGAAATGCACAAAGAATCACCTGTACAATTCTGGCGTCTCTCTGCGAGCACAAACGCCTAAAGGGCTCAGTGGCGGGTTCTTGTTGTGGTTTCTGGGTGGCTCTGGTTTCGAATAGTCTCTTAGTACACATACATAGTCTCTATTTGTTTTTTATTATACATCAGTACTGTAAACAGGCACTCGCAGATGGGAAAAGGGTGGGAGAGCTCAGTGGGCTGACGTCTTCGTCAGTCTCTCAGTCCGGCTGAGACAATGGGGGGTCCTCCCGGTAAGGCTTATCCGTCTACCTGCCTGTCCCCATCCATCAGCCCCACACACACACACGCACACACACACAGACACACATGTTTGTCGGACTGTCTCCTAATCCCGAGAGTGGGGGCGCTCCAAAGCCCAGCGAAGCTCCGGGAGAATTCCAGAGAGGGGGTTGGTTCCCCGTCCTGTGTAGCGAGGTGTGCGTGTTCTAGAATGGGTTGAAAATCTTGATGCTCTTTTTATATATATATATATATTTATATATATATATATATGGCCTTGGTGATTGGGGGGATGGTTGTGCAAAGTCACGCCGTCTCTGGTATGTCCACGCGGAAGGAGCTAGCAAACCCTTTTCCTCGCTGCAAGAAGCAAAGAGAGACACGGTGAGCAGCAGTAAAGAACGCGTGCGGTGGCTGTAAAGAGAGGGTTCCCACGTCAGTGTGAGAATGACAGCAGAGCCCTTTAAATGGCCTCATTCACACATAATGGACTCGCCTGGGCCCATTCTCTTCTCTTGTGAAATGGCTCATGGATAATGTGTGTGTGACTATGCATGTGAACCGGGAAGAGGGGAGTGTGGTTGGGGGGAGGGAGGGGGAGGGTTGGCTGTTATGGGAAAAGATGCATTTGAGTGGAGGGGGGCAACAACAAAAAAGGAGGAATGCTGCCTGTAATTCGTGCCCCATCACGATGTTGTCTGAGTTCCGCGAAGACTGTCACACCCCCACCCCACTGTCACTCCCCCTCCCTGACCCGACCCAGGCCTGCTCCTCCAGGACAAAAGAGTCTCTGTGTATCACTGGCTGACTTGATCAGATTAGGGAGCTTCATCCTCTTGGCATGATCATTCCATCCTTCCCCCACCCCTCCTCTTCCCCTCCCAGCCTTCTCTCTCTGCCTGTTGTTCCCTCTTGCTAGTATCCACCCCCCCGCCCCACCATTGCCAGCCCCGAGCTCATTAGCATAAGGGCCACAGTGATCCACTTGGAAAGGGGGAGGGGGGAGCGGCGTTGGTGGGAAACACGGCGATGCATCGGGAGCCCCCCGTCACCTCGGAGCGCGGCCTCATCGGGCATAACAAGCAGGTCCGTGGTGACTGGGGGCACCAACACTACATCAAGTCCGCCACTAACGCTCCACGCTGGGTTCTCACAGCCCACCAGGGTTTGTTTGACTTCAGATCAGGAAGAGACAGTTATTGTCTAATGGCCAATGCTGCTGAAACAAATTGTCGGTGGTGTGTAAAGGATTTGATTGAACGACGTGTTAACGAGGATCCCAATACATCGATCTGTTCAATGACATTCATTGGGATGATGTCAGTTGTTCTTCTTCCTGACTTATGTCCCAGCTGTTCACTAACCTGCTGGTGGAGCTGAACTGATGCTGGTGCTCCCCTGTTGTCAGCGCCCGCTGTGCTACAAGGCGGATGAACAACTTGCAATGGGAGCACCGGGAAGCATGTTCAACAGAACGTTTTTGATCCAGGATTAAACAAAAAATTATAAAGAACTGTAGCGGATGAATAAAACATTAATTAAACTGGGGTGAAAAAAAAACATTTTTCCTGCACTAGGGAGGGCGTGGGGCTGACAGTTGCTGTTTCAGAGGATGATAGAGAGAGAGAGAGAGAGAGAGAGAGAGAGAGAGAGAGACCTCTTCAGGCTCTGCTTGACAAAATTATAATTAAGCATTATCTCTTAACTGCAGTGATTGAGGATGTATCTCTTTGTGGCCTTTGAATGAGAGTTTAGAAACAGTAATTCCTTGCAAAAAGGTTTTTTTTCTGTCTTTTTTTTCTCAAAAATCTTAAAGTGGCTTTTGATCAGCGGCTCCGACACAAAGACGTCTAGTGAACGAGAGGAGCAGCTAAGCTCACAGCCTGCCGCTCTTCTTCCCTGACTGAAAACATTCTTGTTTCATTGTGGGAGACGCTCATATTCAGCAGACCTTCTTTCATTCCCTAACGAGACAGAGCTTCCTTAGTGCTAACATCTCCACCCACATCAAGGCAACCTTATACACCATAATTGCTTTTGGCATGTTTCATTTGGAAAGGCCCACAGGCCAATCAGTGCTGGAGGATTTTGAATGTGTGTGTGTGTGCGTGTGAATGAATTGAAGCAGTAGGTGAGGGAAGATAAGATCATCATACTGGGAGAAGATGGAGATGCTTGAGATAGAGGTAAGAGTTAGTTAAACGGTCTGAGAGAACAGGGGTCAGACCTGGAATTAATTTTTTCTCGCTTCCTTCCGGCAGCCAATCCGGAGTGAGAAAATTAAATCTGGACTCACTATTTCTTTTTTCACTCGATCAGCGGATAGAGAAGCGAGGCTGGCGCCGAGGCCGCGGCGAAACACAATACTCACTTAAATAAGCTGGATTATTAGGTGCTCGGCAAATCTCTCTCCTCTCTAGGGAGCTCTGCTGGTGGCTGAGGTGATGGCTTTTGTGGAGGTGGTGCTGGTGGTTTGGGTGGAGGTGGAGATGGAGGTGTTGGTGACTGATTGGCGTCTCTTTGCCAAAGGTGGAGAATGACCTATCAGCCGTTTGCTCGGGGGTTTCAAATAATACCTCTGTGTCCGGGACAGAGTCCATGCCGGGCACGTGGAGGTTGCTGCGGTAGTCCGGGCCCTGGCGCCCGTCGGACGCCACGAAGCTGGGCATCCAGCAGCGGTCGGAGTGGCCCAGGGCCTTGCACTCCTCCGTGCAGTTAGAGAAGAGGTCGGCGCCTGCAGGCCAAGAGGGTGAGGGGAGGAGGGGGGGGCAAACGGGAGGGAGGAGAGTTTAGCAATTGCTGAACAAGCACGACAAACAGGGACCCCAGTGAAAGTGCGCACACCCGTGCGCATGCAACGCCACTTGAAGTATTCCTGCGAGTCTTCCACAATATCTATTCATGCTTAAGCCTCCTGTGATGTTCCCTTTTTCCCGAGTTAGGATCAAAGAGCCTCCACTCAGAGGAAACCTGAGCAACAGAGAAAGGAGAAGTCCCTCTCCAAGGATCCGCGTCCACGACACAAACCGCAGCAACACAAAGCCACACTCTGATGACGAGAGCTGGGGGATTTGTCAACAAAATGAAAAGAAAAACGTGCATGAGACGTGCAAGGAAAAACTGGTCTCCGGTCCTGACTCAGTAAGTGTCTTACGGTTTCTTGATGCTTAGTCTAGTGGCGTACAGATTGCTGTGGATCCCTGATATGAAACACTAAATAATGACACAGTCTAACGTTAACCACCAATTGATATCTGCTAATATTACAATACGAACACCGATCTGTGTTTACATAAACATAGAGCTAGTAACATTAGCAGCACTGCTAACGGCTAACCAACAGCGGTCCAGTTCAATTACATCATGATGCATTCAGGCTCTGTTCCGTGAAAATGACAATTGGTAGAAGGTAAATTATAAACAGACAATTATCAAAAATGATAATGTGTTCACTGTAAACTGTAGAATCTATATTTTACTGAGCAACTTCAATACAGTCAGTTCTTTAAAGTTGTTGTTTTTCACAAAGAGATACAAAACATGAATTAAGAGCTGTCTCCAATAACTAAGCAACATATAATAAAACTTTGTTTTAATTAATGAAAATTTAATATTTATTTATTTATTTATTTATTTATTCCATCTGATTTGTGTGTTTTCCCACTATGAGTTACTTTAACAAAATAAAAGTATATGATTCATGATTTACTGACTTCTGAGTGGAAATGATTTTTGGGCTGGTAGGCAAAAAGAATCAGATCGGTAATTAGTATCTGCAGCAAAGGAAATGTGATCAAGGAAGTTAAAGTTGCATTTTTGTGCTGGTCTGATCTGTGATACAAGATTATATCCATCGATGCACATCATGCTGTCAACGTTGCACCTCATCTGAAGTTGTTATTCGGTCCTTTTAATTGTTCTTTTTCACTTGAAGGACCTCGTGTGAGGACGGTTGTTACAGTTGCATCACATCTGAGTCTCATCATTTGATCTACTGCTGCAGTGTCAACGCAGCCTTTCCTCCCAGTCTGCATCCTACGCTCTACTTCCGTAGTCACTGTGTATTTTCAAGGGTTAGAATTGTTGTTTTTTATTGAGTTGATGGGGGGTTTAAGCTGCTTTCAGACACTGTGGGCTGCTTTCCGGGTTCACTGTTCACTAAACTCTGGAGAAACAACCACAGGTCACCAGAGCAGCCAAAACATTCTCCATCTAGGTCACACAACCTCCCATTTCATAACCAAATCACATTCACTCTGTGGCTATAATCCCAAAAAGGTGGTTAAAGGGGAATCAAGAATGCAACGTGTCATTTTAATATCATGAACTGGTATTAATGAACGACTGCTCTGCAAACCCTGTGCATGCTAGGACACATAGTGGACTCTATTATATCATGTCAAATGGAATGTAGATGCTTTTTACATCATTGAGATGACAAAAAAAGCTTTTAGCGAGTAAAATGTATTGTTAATGGAATTCATGTCGATTACATACACGATGAAATAAACTTGCAAATTGTGGCCAATTCATGTGTTTAGTCGGTTGAACAATGCACTGACCCTGTTGTGAAGAGTAATAAACACTTCACTGTATCACTTGCTTGAATAATGTATTTTGTAGTACTTTTCTTGTAGAAGGTTGCTAGGATACCTGAAAGAAGACGTGTTTTTGATGGCGGCCGAGGCCTAAATGAATCGTCAGCAGGTGTTGGTGAGTGCGGCTGCAGCCTACGTACACCCCTCTGAGAGAGAACATTTCTACACGTCAAAGGGATGTGTGTGATTGTGAAGGGGGGGGTAGGTGGGTGCAGGCTTCAAAGCCTGAACATTAGATTAACACGGCCACAAACCCAATAGTATTGGATTACCCAGCCTGCCCCCTGTCCCGGGCCTTCGGCCTCGCCTCCTTCGCAAACCCTATTGTCCCTCATGAAAGGCATTACTGCAGGTATTCTTCTGCAAACTAGTTTGAATGCGTTCGCTTTCATGTGGAGTAATTGTTTGGGAGCCCTTTTCTTTTTTTTTTTAATAGCTGGAATTCTGCCTGAGAATATCACCTTTTGTCAGAGGGCAGAAGTGGAACGGCGGTAACGGGCCCGCTAGCTATTTAGGCCGCGCGTAAGCCTTCAGCCAAATTGTGTTTCATTGCCCCATATGTTTTCTTGCAGACGGGCTCAGATCCCCGGTTTGCATGTATTTTCTAGCCTAAATCCGCTTGTTTTGTGTATGTGTGTCTGAGTCACTGTTAGGGCTACAATCTGAGCTGTCCAGCTAGGGCGATCTGCTACTAATCCCTCTGAACACAGAGCGATTAGACCGGGGTCCGCTGTCATCCCAGTAAGCACAGGGAGTGTGAGTGTGTGTGTGTGTGTGTGTGTGTCTGTACCGGTCAGTTTACGGGGAATTTGCTTTGTTAGTAAGCGGATTAATTTGGCTCGCCGTCACTAACGGCTTGGCAAAGCGCCCGGCCTCCTAATGACAGGGTTTCTTATTAAATATGAGCCGACGTGCCATAAATAACACCAGCACATTAGGTTGTAATGCGGCCTCTGACATGGGGGGACCTGGAGTGTGTCAGAGCCCATGGACATGCATGAGAGCGCTGCATTGTGGGTATCAATATTCAATGATTATACACTAAGAACTGTTTCTGTTACAGCATTACAGAAGGGTTACACTTGGATTGTAATTTCTGTTTGTTCTGTACATCTTTTAGCAATCCATCATTTTAAGGATAGATCACATTGACTTTATGTTTTTAGATTACTATATATAAAAATACTGCTGCTCCAGTTAAGGGAAAGTGTTTATATGTCACACAGTGATTAAATGAATCTGTGTGTCGCAGTGATTATTTTTTTATTTGGATTAGGACTCCAACAAACGAAGGATTTATTATTATCTATTATCCGTTATATTTGATGAAGACAATGACTCAAATCATAAAATATCAATTAAAAATGTTTTTGATGTTAATTTTAAGTACATTTTTTGTTATATTGGAGATTATATTAAGAAAAAAATCATACATTTATTGGACTAATTTCAAAGAGCCTGTAGAGCTCATTATTGAAACAGTGGTATTGGAGGGTCCTGCAGGAGTCCCCTAGTCCCACGTATCAGGGGACAGAAGAGGTTGCATCGCTGCTTCCCTCGTTGTGGGCTGCAAAAAATAAGTAGTGGAAGGACACGGAGCGCTTCTATTACAAAATGGATGCTGTGTGGATTCTCAAAATGGGAAATGTGGCATTTAGGCTGTCAGAGAGTCTATCTCTCTCTCTCTCTCTCACACACACACACACACACACACACACACACACACACACACACACACACACACACACACAGCCATTTAAGTCACCAGATTAAGACATCTTCATATTTCTTGACATTTTGGCAAAATGAGATGTTCCCCCTGGTACATTAGACCGTCTCTATTAAATCAGGAGGGAACATTCCAGCTGTAAAATCAAAACCCTCACCACCCCCCACACGCACACAGACAGCCAGAATAAAGGTTGTGGGTGATGCCCCCGTCTCTACCAGCACACAACGCTCCCAACAATCCTCCTCAGAACCGTTGTGCGAGGTGTGAGGCTCCATCCGGGCGGAGCACAGTACACCGCCCTCCGCTGCCGGTGTCAACATGTCCCGCGCTAAATCGACAAATAAGCAGAGAGCCCAGCGAGGACCGGGATACGGGGGGTGGGGATGGGACCCTACGCCCTCATCTCCTCTTAGCATTCGGCACGGCACTCGCGCAGGGCAAACCCAAAGTCTCCATAATAACCTTCATTTGGTAATTGCTACGCAGAGGTCTGAAAAATGAATTACTGATCAGCGAGCTGTTACCACGGTGATAACATGAACCACCGACCAAAGGAGGAATTCATCATGGCAGCGTAGGGGGATGGGGAGAGGGAGGAGGGAGCGGGAGGGGATAGGAACGTGGATAAGGGCCTCGACTCGATCGTCTCTGAGTGTGTGACATTGGCTGTGTTGATAATATGCGCTTTACACATGTAGCGGGACTGGAAACGGGCCACTGAGGGGACTCAGAAGTGGCCCTGGAGGGTCCAGCGGAAAATCAGGAGCCCTCCATTAATTCCACAGGAGAATGTGGCCTCCAGAGATCCACACAAAGACCAGAACAGCAATGCTCCCAGCAACAAGCCCGATCGCAGTATCAGGGGGGGGTCTGGCACGCCCTCACATTTCATGACTGATGAATCATTCCAAAGGAACAGGTCAAGCCACTGAAAGTAAATGACATCATCTTTTTGTCGGGGGGATTCAAACACAATGCAGAATAAACCAACAACGATAGTGTGTGTCTTTCCCCCGGCCCTCGTCTAGCAGGCTCCTTACCGCTGTAAAAACCTTCCCCCTTTATTCTATAAAGTCTCTTCAACACAGGACACATGGGGCGGGTCGCGCTGCCTTATATGATGCTATTGGAGCATTAATTATGCAAATGCTAGTTCTCATAAACGCAGGGGTGTCATTCATCAGGTCCTCCAGCTCCTTCACGCAGTTATCGGAAGCCAGCAGCGTCAGCTGGATCTGACGTGGTTCACTTTTACAAAAAAGAAGTTTGCATACCAGAATTTTCTGTATAAAGCATTTAGCGTGTATTTATGGGAAAGATTGGTAGTGCATACTGCAGCTAGTAAGGAGAAAGCTGTTTTCGTAGAGGAATTAATATGCTTTCCTTTTGACAGACACAATCAGCTCGTGCCGCTGGACGTTTTCTCATTTTCTCCGTGAGAGCAGCACAGACGTGTTCTAAAGGAAGCTCATTATGCATACATACTACAGTGTGTTTCAGTCCCATGATAAATGAACACACGTCTCACGCCTCCCGTCGCCATCGCAGCTGCCCACACATACCTGCACACGGCACTGTGTGATGACACTTAGACTGCAGTAATTGGTCATTTGATTGCCGCCTTTGACCTTAATTGCAAATGCTCCCCTTTACTCTCTTTCTGTCACTCTCAGCACGCACGGAAGAGCCTGGAACATAATCTGCGTTCCAACAGCCCGTGTTTGTGTGTGAGTGGTTCATCCCTGTCATATGGCCTTAACAGCTGATTTTTCTGACACTTTAAGTGCGTGGTGAACGTAAATAACTCTTGGCACTGCAACACAGCCAACAACAGGAACAACAACAACACACACACAATCTTGTAGCGGTTGCTTGTCGAAAATAGTGTAACCGCTAACAGAAAAATATAAAATAGAGGTTGTGAGGCAATGAGGGTAAACAGCATGTGAGCACTGCTTCATCAAACTGATCTAATTGGAACATCTGTCCATGTATAATGCTCATGCAGCCCGAGATGAAAAAACAATATGCTCCTTTAAATCGGATTATATGGACAAGAACAAACGCCTCAGCAGAAAAACCATCGAGTTCCTCTCCCCGACGTCCCGCCTGAGCCGAGACAAGGACATGTGTTTACTTGACATCAGCATCTAGCAAACAGTGACGCGGCGTGAGTGGACAAACTGCATGAGCACAGACTGAGGAAAAGCCCGTGTGCTGCCCCTCGGCATTGTGGGAGCAGAATTGCGGGACGCTAAGCCACTCTATCAATTATCCTTTTCAAACAAAGACTTAATACGGAGCAAATAATCTGTTTGAAGGCACTAAGCAGGGTTGATAACTCGCGACAGAGTAACTGTCTCCCATCACGCACCAAGGGTACTCAAAGTCAGCGGGGGGGCTGCCGGGCCGGGCCTGGCGCGCACATTCTGAAGAGCAGAGGCTTACACTTCCAAATCATCAGAAGGTAAATGTGTGTCCAAAGCAGCAGAAAGCTCTGAAAGCGTGCCCAACGTCGGCGCTCAGCGGGCCGATAAGATCCTTCTTTCCTCATCTTTGATCCAACACTTCCTTGTGAGGGCTGTCACTCAAAACAAGCACCAATCAATTCAGAGCGCTCTGCTCTGTTTGTCCTGTTTAAGACTAGTGGGAAGAGGCCATTTATTCTGATCTGTTTATTTAATCTGTAGATTCTGCGTAAATTCATCATCACGAATCACATAATGCCTAATTTGCATATTTAAACGTAACATTTATTTGCACCATATTGTCCAACATATATGTCATTTTGGAAAAATGCGTCTTTTCTCAGAATCCAGATTTCTCCACTTGAGCAGCGCTCACGTCCACCAAACTCACCAGTTTCATTACTCTGCGTGTTTTGAAGGATTCTGTGTTTTCACAGCATGATTTATACAATAAGTTATTACTAACAACATGGAGGAAATCTGTTTTTTATGTGTGTTTCTAATTCACACAGTGATACAGATATATATATAATATAAATGCATATATATATATATATATAGTACATAAAGTTTATAGTACATAATAAAAACAATATATATATATATATATATATATATATAATTGTTTTTATTATGTACTATAAACTATATTTATATTTATTTACTATAGTACAAAAATAAAATAAAATAAAATAGCGGTGCCTTTGCTGGAGAGCAGGTCTTTGTACTGGATGCAGTGCTTCATGCGGAAGGGGCTGTGGCCCCCCGTGTATGTTCACCGCCTCGTACGAGAGCTTGACGGGTCCGCGGCCTCAGGGGCCCCTGGGTCTGTGCTCATGGGACTAATTGATGAAAGGCTGGCGATATGGAGAAGGGATTAAAGCCCCCCCTTGGTGATGAGGAGACCTCAGCTCCCTTTAAGCAGGTGTGAATCCGGTCTGAGCCTCGTGCTGCTCGCATGGAGCCGCTCGCTCACGTCCACGCACTCATACCCAAACGAAGGTGCAGACCCCGAGGGACTGCACACACACCCACGGTCGCTTGCTGCACGGCTAAATGCGATGGGACAACTCCCACCGTTTGGCTTTATGAAAGGAGACACGTTGGAGGTGTATATTAAGAGTTTTCAGGAGTGCTATGTTTTAACATGCAAATGAGGCATAGAATAAGCACTCATTTGCATTTGTTTCTAGAACGTTAATCTGAACATTGGAGCCAGGATTAAAACAATCTTTCAATGTCAGAGGGAATATATATGTATATACATTTGTATATGTTTGTATCACTTTATTTGAATCAAAAACAGACGTAACAAAATGTCCTTCATGTCGTTCGTAATAATATATTGTATAAACCATGCTGTGAATGATATAGAATCCTTCAGGACACAGAATTCTGGAGTCTGAGAAAAAAAGAACAGCCTTTTGAAGACGTGTTTTGTAAACTGACATACATTTTAGTGAATATGGTGAACATGTATGTTACGTTTACGTATGCAAACGTGGCATTCTATAATGATGACGTTTGGTGGATTTAGGAGGATTCTACAGATGAAATCGACCAAATGGTAGAATAAATGTAACAGAGCGGATAAAAAGAACAGTGTCTATTATCCTCAGGGCCAAGCCGTCCAGAAAGTGTCCCCCTGACACCCGAACCACAAGCCGACAGCGTTCACGTGAAATGCCGATGCCCTCACAATTGGACGGCCCCCTGGACCAGCCGGCTGACTGGGGCCCACGTTACGAGTGACGATCTTCCACAGTGTGGAAAGAGCAGAAGCTGAAGCGTTTGAGAGGATCTGACTTCGTCTGTGTACAGCCCGACGGGCCGAATGAGTGGGCCCCCGTGATGAGGCTGAGCCGACACCGCGACGGGCTCCTTTCTACCGAGCCCCCTCCTCCCCCCACAGACATGAAGCCCTGCATTCAGACTGTGCGAGCTCAGCGCGCTTGATTTAATACGGAGGCATTAAGAAAGAGGAGAACAGGATGAGGATGTAAGATCGTGGTTGGGGAGGGACGGCGAGGAGTGAGAGTAGCTGCTCCAGTGAACGCGTTAATTATTCTAATGAAGGACTGAATCGCGTGTTTTGTTTGTGACGGTGGCGCTGCGACCTATTTGGTCCGGTTCCTGGAGCCTCATTAGAACGCCCGTCACGTCAAGTGGTCTCCGCTATCCGAGTGACCGGGCTCACGGGGAGCGGGCTCCTCATTAACACTGCGGCGCATTTACCATCTGCAGGGCTGGGGGACGGTGGTCTCACAGGGACCGGGTTTGGGTTCTGTCACTAGCATGGCTGACATTTCTTCTTCTTATTATTTTTCACCAGAGGGAAACCAGAAAGTCTGAAAAGCGTTAGCGTTTGTTTGGTTCTCGTCATGTCCACTGACCCAACAATTGGATTTCTCTCACTACTCAAAAGTCTCATATTAAAAAAGTGAAAGTATATTTTATGGGACACTTAATTTCATTTGGCTGTAAATCTTCATAATGGTCCTTCAGTGACTCTTTTAGATTGTCCTTTTTGATTGAATGTCTCAAACTCTAGATTTAAAACCATCGAAGTCAGCATTATTTATGTACTTTAATATTCTAAATTCTTTAGAAAAAATAATAACTTGTTTTAATTTTGCATTCCAAATGGAGTACAGTTGAGTTTATTAATGCCCATTGTGTCAACTAAATTATGGTTGGTCCCAAACCATTTGTCCCAATGTGACCATCACTGGACAAGGGACATGCTTAAGACATATAATCTGAAATATTTTGTCCTTAGTGCATTGTCAAGAAATATTATAGATCTGAATTATGTTTTTATTTGACATCATTCAAATAAGTTGTTTGTTACTCTCCATAGAGGTTATGTTTGTTGTTCAGTTCGTTCTTTTGTTTGTATCAAGATTAAAAGAAATGTACGTATTACGGGAAGAAGAAGAACACATCTGTAGGAATACTTTAACCATCAGCAGCATGAAACACATCCACCCCACTGCATTATTTACCTAAGACAGACACTGCTAGCAGCAAGATCAGTTCTTTCACATTAGTAGAAGAAATATTTCATTTTGATCTGTAGGTTGACTTACTGTACTGATTCATCTCATCCACGTTTAACGTTCACTGTTAAAACACAAATCGAACTAGGAAGACTGCTCGCTGTGTCGCACAATGCCCTCCTTCTGAGTGCGGCACTGGTTAATTGTTTTATATATACATATGAACATGTACACACTGCTGGGACACTTGAAGTCCTGATGGTTTCATGGAAAAAAAACCTTTGTTTGGTTTTCTTCGTGTTTGTGTGAAAGCATTTAGCAACACTCACACACACTCAACACCCTCAGTGAGCGTTCTTACCGGAGGCGTGGCCTCGGTTGGCGTCGTGGTCACTGTCTCCCTGCTCGCTGTCCCCGTGGCCGCTGTCTTTGGAGCTCACCATGTCCGCCTCCTGGAACGCTGAGCTGGGACACAAAAGAGGGCGTGAAACGAAAGCCGCGCTTACAGCAGCTCCATCCGCATCATCCGCATCATCCCAGTGACGACAGTTATCAAAGGAGGGAACGGAGGCCGGAGGCTGAGAAACGGTGTCTTTCCATATTTACCTGTTGACCCGTCTCGGCCTGTCTACCAGGTAGCTGAGTTCAGCTCGCTGGTGTTTGGTCTGAAAGAGAAGGGTCATTTTTTTTAGTTTGTGAGCACCTGATGTTACATAACGACCTTCACGCCATCACACAAAACCATTATGCAACCCACAGAGCAGGTTGGGGGTTTAGGGGGGGGAGGGGGGCACAGGCAGTGCGCGTGCACACACACACACACAGCGCCCAGCAGCCTCTAAGCCACCATACGCGTATATAAACAGAGGGTTTTTTATATTAACAACATGCAGCCCTCCTGAGGCCTGCGGGAGGCATCATGTCAGCGCGGTGCTTCTACAAGACACAGGAGGATGTGTGAAGCTCCTAATGACAGCCAATATCCACAGACCAGACATGAGGGGAAATGGAGATGGCTCTTGAATGAAAACATTTATCTGTCACGTATTCAAACACAACCACGCTGTGTCACAGCTGTGTGTGTGTGTGTGTGTGTGTGTGTGTGTGTGTGTGTGTGAGTCTGGGTGGGCTTCAGACATGCGGAGGGGTTTACACTGTAGTGTATGAGAGGGACTCTTACCTCGTTCGACAAAATGCTGCCGTTTGATATGATGTCGGGCTGCTGGTCTGTGTACCCTGTCACTATGGCCCCGTACGGGTTGTGATCGGTGTCTGCGCTCCGAGACGGACTACACGGCTTTAGGAACATGAGGTCGGTTTTGGCAGACTCCGGAGTCAGACATACCTGGTAGCAATAGTTCTGGTTTTGGTGGTGGGAGCCGAAGCTCCCCGACTCCTCCACGGGGACCTGAGCCATCCCGACCCCGCTGACGCTGCCGGCGCTCTGCACCAGCATGATATCCGACTTGCTGAGCTTTTTCTTGCGCGCCCGGCCCTGCCGCGAGCAGCACGAGCTGCAGCCCAGGCAGCACTCGCTGGTCAGGCAGGTGTAAAGGTTGAGCTTTTTGTCCTTCTGGCAGCGCACGGCCAGCACGATCATGACCAGCAGGAAAATGAAGGAGACGGAGCCCAGGGCGATGATGAGGATCAGCGTGAGGTCCAGAGTCCCGTCTTTTGCCTTGGCGGTGCCGGCCCGGTCCCCGGCGCCGCGCCCCACGGCCACGCTGTCCACCAGCACCACCAGCACGCTGGCGCTAGAGGACAGCGGCGGCTGGCCGTGGTCCCTCACCTCGATCAGCAGGTCGTACAGCTGGTGTGGGTCGCGCTTGACAGACACCCGCCTCGCTGTGCGGAGCTCGCCGGTCCTCCAGTCCATCCGGAACATGCCGTTCTCGTTCCCCCTCTGGATGCTGTAGGACAGCCGTGCGTTCTCGCCGTCGTCCGCATCCATGGCCACGATGCGGGTCACCAGGTAGCCCGGCTCGGCGGTGCGGGGCAGGGGCTCTTTGGCGGTGCCGTTCTTCCCCAGCGGCGCCAGAACCACGGGCGTGTTGTCGTTCTGGTCCACTATTATGACTTTGACAGTGGCGTTGGAGAAGAGCTCCGGTGCGCCCGCGTCCTTGGCCTGGACCATGAAAGTGAAATCCTTCAGCTGCTCATAATCAAAGGACCTGAGCGCGTACAAGTAGCCTGTCTCCTCGTTGATGGACACGTAGGTTTTGAGCGACATGCCCTGGATGTCACACTCTAATATGGAGTAGCTGATGAGCGCGTTCTGCCCGATGTCCGGGTCCAGAGCCGTCACGGCGTGGATGTATGCGCCCGGCACGTTGTTCTCGGTCACATACACATCGTAGATGGCCTGCGTAAACGTGGGCGCGTTGTCGTTCTCATCTGACACCTGGACTCGGATGGACTTACTGGCGGCGAGAGAGGGCGTCCCTTTGTCCCGCGCGACTACGGTGACGGAGTAGGAGTCCGCCTGCTCCCGGTTCAGCGGGCCGTCGGTCACTATGGTAAAATAATTCCTAAAGGACGATTTTAATTTGAACGGAACATCGCCGAGGATCTCCACGTGGATCTGTCCGTTCTCCTCCGCGTCCTGGTCCGTGACGCTCAGCAGAGCAATGACGGTGCCGGGGGCCGCCTTTTCGCTCACCGACTCGGTGACGGTGCTGAAGGTGATCTCCGGCGCGTTGTCATTCAGGTCGGTGACTTTGACCAGCACTTTGCAGTGAGCGGCCACTGCGTTCGGCCCCATATCCTTGGCCTGTACGAAGATCTGATAGAGGCTGCTCTCCTCGAAGTCCACCTCTGCGCGCACCTCGATGCGGCCGGTGCGCGGGTCAATACTGAACAGATCCTTTACGCGATTGGATATGTGGTTACTGAAGGAGTAAACGATCTCCCCGTTCAGTCCCTCGTCCAGGTCGGTGGCGTTCAGCTGTAGGACCAGCATGCCCACCGGCGCGTTCTCCGAGAGGCTCACCGTGTAGACGGCCTGGTCAAACACCGGCACGTTATCATTGGAGTCCAGCACTTTGACCACCAGCAGCGCGGTGCCGGTCCGGGGAGGCTGACCGCCGTCCACCGCGGTCAGCACGTACCTGTGCGCCGCCTGCTGCTCCCGGTCCAGTGGCTTCTCCAGGACGAGCTCGGCGAACTTGTTTCCGTCCGTTTGGGTCTGCACATCCAGGTAAAAGTAGTTGTTGGTGGTGATATCGTAAGTGCGCAGCGCGTTCGAGCCCACGTCCGGGTCGAACGCGCTCTCCAGGGGGAAACGGGTGCCCGGAGTGGCACTCTCTGAGATCTCCACCGTGATGTCCGTCTCCGGGAAGCTGGGCGGATTGTCGTTAATGTCCACCACCTCGATCTCCACCCGAAACAGCTCCAGCGGGTTTTCCAAGAACACTTCCATGTTGAGCTGGCAGCTAGGACTCTGCCTACAGATCTGCTCCCGGTCGATTTTTTCGCTCACGAACAGGACACCGTTCTCCAGGTTCACTTCCAGATACGGCGTGCGAGAGCTGGGCACCACCTGGAAACGGCGGGAGGCCAGTTTGGTGAGGTCCAGCCCCAGGTCCTCGGCAATATTCCCCACCAAGGTGCCATGGTCCGCCTCCTCCGGCACAGAGTAACGGATCTGAGAGAGCACTCCATGCGCAATGCACAGGACAATCACAAGCGCAATCATCGCAGGAAAACAAGTGCACTTTGGTAGAGGATTTTATAGACTGCGGTATCCTCTGTTATTAGGCAAAATATCCGGTCCCATCACCCATTTCCTCAGGCAGGCAAAGTCTCCAAAAATGCGTAAAAATCTCCAGAAACTTATAAAACGTCCGGAAAAGGCTGTCCCATTAAAAAAAAGCGTTTCTGTTTGAGTTTTGAACACCGCAGAGTCTCTTTTTCTGTCTGTTCTCCGTTGTCCCGCTTCCGAGTGTCCGAAGAAGCTGCTGCGCGCATTCCAATGAAGCGCCGTGTGATGGAACCAGTCCGGAGCGCGTTTGGGAAACGAGGAAACAGGTATCCACATAAAAACAACAAGAGGTCGGTTTGGCTTTCTGTGATTGTCCCTGTGATCTGACGGTACATGCCCGACTTGTCCTCTCGCTGTCGGGCTGGGTGTCTGTCCTCCTGCCACCCTGTTTTACTCACTGCGGTCCCCTTCACTCCACTCTACTCTCTACTGACGCTGTTCACTCAACTCTTTGCTTTTTTTCCCTCCTCTTTGACACCCCTCCTCCCCCCCCAGCAACCCTCCGCCCACCCTCCCTTCCATCGTACCGCCCCCATCTCAGCCCCTGTGGGCTGTAAATCACGCTGACAGCTCTCTCCTGATTGGATAGCCGGGTTGCCGGTCCACGCCCCCCCCCCTCCCTCCCTGCAGCTCTATCTCGCTCTACCTTTCCAACGCTTTGCTCCTGGTGGCTTCTCTTTCAGTATAACGCCGAAGTGGAGAGGGGACGGAGGACGCCAAGGCTAGAATTCTCCCCACTCCTCTCCAACACGCACGCGCACGCACACCTGCCCCCCCAATGAACCACTGTGTGATGAGCGCTGGTGGAGGACTTGGTGTCCGGGGCCCTTGAGAGCCTGAGGACAGACCGGGGTAATGCATGCAAATGCTGCGATATGTATGTAGACAATCATCCCCGGTTCGAGCGCGGTTTCTTAAGGCAGCGCGTTATAATTACAGCCCGTGGTTGAAAGGATATTAACTGTCCTCCAGCCAGCCACACAGGCAGCGCGTCTGGAGAGGATGGGGCGACGGGCCCTGATGCGCGGACCTCATGCGACCCCTAGCGGGGCGCCAGCAGGCCAGAGTGAGATTCAGAGCCGGAGTGAACCAGTCATCGTCCAGTGGACCGGTCCGCGAGGTAAAGAAAAAACAGGGTACGAGCATTTCCATAAACACACTCTGAGGATGAGTGACACCAACAAACACAACACATTACAAATGTGTAAAACAATTGAGAAGACAAAACAAAATCGACTCCAAAATGGAAAACATTCGGTGGAACTGAATTGTGTACTCTCAGGCTCAAAGAATTCCATTTAGACGGTTCCAAGCGACTGGAGCAGGAAACATGAAGGCATGCTCTTCCGCCTCCTCTTTTAGATCATTAGTATTACACAAAGGAAGGAAGTGCACATGGCTTCAAAAGGCACAGTCACACACAGTTATTTGTAATGAGTTCGTCACAAACAGAGAAACAAGTTATACAAAACTATAACTACAGACAAAAAATGACTGATTCTGAATCCTGATAATATGGATACTTTGAATTTTGCAGAAGAAGTAAGGCTCCCCTTATTTTTCTGCTCTTTTTGCCAGTCTACTGGCTTGCAGATCCATTTTTGTAAAGTGGCCTTTGATGAACCCTACTTCCGGCGAGTGTTTCTCAGTGATCTAGATCTGGACTCTTTCCCCAAGCAGGACACGCGTTCATGTACCCGACTCGTAAACCACAGCGGTCAGCCACACCGTACACCACAGGGGCTTTTTAATTGAAGTTTTAATTATTTCCGGTCTTCATAAATACCCCCCTCCCACCCCTCATTCCAGTTGTAAAAGTGAACCTGACCTTGGTCATAACAGGAAATCTCTGGAGCCTTCAGTGTTCAGTGTGTGAGATCAGAGGAGTGAAGGAGGTGAGCAGTAGAGCAAGTGCTCCCCCTAGTGAACCTCTGCACTGCTGCACGTCCACATCCACACTGACTAACACGTGCACGCACACGCACCCCCTCCCACACACACAAGTGGCAGCATAAGTGCATGTCTGCAAACTGTCAGATACATCACCGTACAGGCCACTGTGGGAGAGAGAGATGTAGTGGCTACGAGAAGAGACTCTCCTAAATCAAGCTGCAGCCAGCGGTGCGGTCGGACATGCATCACTGTCGGCTCAGAGAGAGAGAGACACCCAACGATCACTGATTTAACTACGTGAATGTGATTTCAGTCACTCCCCTGCTCACCCACACTGACACGGCAGCACTCCGCCTTCTCATCTGGATTTACAGCCAGGACTTCTTATTCTCGAGTCATTTTAAATGCTGAAAATACAGAGTATACACACACCGGCAATTGCTACCTTTTGTGGGTAAAAATAACGTCTCGTTCATCCCAACGTTTCCCACACATTGTAGCGGCAAGAGAGATGAAAAAAATGAAAAAGGTGCCCTACAGCAGTCCCATTCAGAAGGTAATTAGAGCAGGAGAAAGCAGCATGTAATCATCAAGTGTTATAGAGCTACAGGGACCGGAGAGCACCGTCTAATCGGAAACCAAGCGCCGCTTCCCCCGTTAGCTTTAACAAGCGCAGCATCAATTAGCACAAGAGTGGAGTCTCTAATGTGGTGTCACGTCTAGGTGTTGGGGAGGACAAACCTCTATGGGCACCATAAGGGACAAGCAGGTCTGCACGAAGCCTCTCTGCGCTGCAAACTGTCAGTGAAGATCTTACATTGAAACCCACGGATGGTAGCGGTACTGTCTTGTTCTGACTTGTTCTGACAGTTGGTGAGCTACAAGGTGTCTCATGACAGCTCATCCCCGCTCACAAGTACGTCGAGGTTCATCAATGCACGTCCGATCATATGGTGCACAACATTCTGAGACAGGAGAAGCAAGGTGATAACAGCCGACACTGTTGTGTCACATTTTGAAAAAGCTCTTATATTCAGACAAAATACTTCACTGAAAGGGTTGTGGAAGTATTACATATTAATAATGTTTTTCACTTCAACGAGTAACCAACAATTCTGATCATTGCAATGGTCAAGACCATAACATATTCAGGTTGGATTATTTCTTTATACTACATAAAATTATATTTTTTCATATTCATAGAAATGTCAGTGATCAGCGATCTTAATGATTTTGATGTGTTTGTATACTCTTTGCTGAATATGATTACATAATCTCACTTAACAGCATAGAAAATAAATAAAGAGTGTAAAGAGGGACAAAGTAATTCACACTTTGTCTGGCTACCTGTTCTCAGTGACTGAAAAGTGGATCAAAGACCCTCGGCAGCATGTTGTTGCTGCCGACTGACACCATCGTCTGCAGCTGCTAAAACTGTTCCAGCTTCTACACATTCATCACCAATCACCTCGACAACTGCTGCCTTCACTGTAAAACCATCACAGAGGATGCTTTATAGTGACGCTGGGAGACTCTGTCATCTGCTGCTCCAGCCTCATATGTGCTGACTTTGCAAAAAAAAATGACTTCCCTTTATGTCTGCATACACAAACACACACACACACACACACACACACACACACACACACACACACACACACACACACACACACACACACAGACAGACAGTGTCCAGAATGGTGCTGTCATGGTGGCATCACTCAAGCAGTAGGAGCTTCAGTTAGTCAGTCAGCTGGCGAGAGGCAGACGCTGTAAGGCCAACACGAGCCTCCCCACAGCGACAGGGATGGGGGGACAGACAGGGAGTAGTGGACAGATGGAGAGAGAGAAGCAGGGAGGGGTGGAGGAGGAGCGATACGGATGCAGATGGACGTCAAGCTGCAGAGTCAGAGCCCGATTCCAATTTAAAATCTTCAGAAAGTGTAATGCTGCTCGGACGAGCGATTGGACCAATCGGATTCCCACACCGAGACCCCTCTCAAACTGCTCATAGTCTGATTTGGAAACGAATGGCGGTATGAGCTGACATGGCTACCGGTCCGCCTCAAACAGGGCTTTGCCTGCATACACAAGTTTAGGATGGGTTGAGCTAGTATGTTTGGTGCTTAAGTCTTGCTACCTACATCATGTAATTATACTTTCAAACAGCATCTATCATTTCTTTTGTGTATTTATTGAACATTAAAAAACAAACTGATAGTTTTTAGATGGACACAATGAATTGTTCTGCCTATATAATAAACAATATGTAAAAAAACGGATAGATATGCAGACAGGGCTGTGGTGTGCAACACAGTGGCTGTGTGCCTGCCTTTGGACAAACAGAGGAGACAGACAGCTCACTGCTGTGCATCTCAGTGCACTCAGGCTGTTATGTCTCTCTTTAGAAGAGTGTGTGATTGCAGTGACGTCTGCACAGCATGGAGGAACGTTCAGATTGTTAGAAATTCCATTTGAAGCTCCAGCCAGGTAAATATATCCCAGCCACAACGAACGGGCATCTGCAATAATCCTGAATGAAAGTAATGGTGGGAGTGAGTCCCGGCTGGATTGGAACATAAATAGACTGACCTGCTGAAAGGCTGCATCTGTGCGGCAGGACGGAGAAACTCATTCTCATTCCCCGGCTGAGATTTAGCTGGGATGCTTTATTATTTAGAGGAGAACCCAAGACATACAATGTGCGTGTGAGACAGAGCATATAAGAGGTAAAAATACGCAGGCAGACACCGATGAAGACATGGAATCAAGACCCGCAAAGAATTTTACTGAAGTGAAAACTAACTTCCTTTGAGAATTTGTGATTATTTGAGGGGGGGGGGGGTAATTATAATAACAAAATGGCAAAATAATGTCTAAAACAATTCATGTCAGCATTGAATTCCACCTTAGAGGAAGTAGGAATACAACGCTTTGACCCTAAAAGTCAGATATTGGTCAGAGCAACATAAAATAACTACATGTCTTAACTTCTCTGGTCCAGAGAACTGAATGAAGCCTGAAGAAATTCAGGCTTAGATTTTCTGCTCCACCAAAGGGTCAGTCCACTCCTACTCAGGTCAGCAAATGAAAACTCAAGATGGTGATTTTACGGTATTTTGTAAGATTCTGGCCGTACGGAAATTTGAACTTGAACTGGTATACCGCCCAGACATGGGTGCCAGTGGTTCATAGGTAGATATCCCAGCTTCACCTTGTCACCACTTTTATATGAGCGTATATCTGTGCCATTGAAACGTATGCCATTGTCACAAATTCTCCATCTTTATTAGTTTTTCTCCTGCCTGCCTGCTTGCTTGTCAATTAACTCTACTGTCATTCCAGATCCTGTCATCAACAAGAAATCATCTCATTCTCTTCACCTGGTCCTCATGCCCTTCCCACCTGCAGCTCATTTCCTCATTAGCCCCTCACTATTTAGGTCCCCACACTTCCACTTGCCCTCTGCCAGATTGTCTTGTGTGTATGCCAAGTTTTCCAGCGCTTCTTGATCAACCTGAAATCCCTTCCTGACTTCGTCTGCCTTTT